TGACTTAAAGGTAGGCAGACAATGTAATAGAGCAGCAGGAAATACTAGCAGAATGCTTGGTTGTATAGGGAGAGGTATTAGCAGTAGAAAGTGGGAAGTGCTCATGCCATTGTACAGAACACTGGTGAGACCTCACTTGGAGTAATGTACGCAGTACTGGAGACCGTATCTTCAGAAGGATATTGATACCTTAGAGAGGGTTCAGAGAAGGGCTACTAAACTGGTTAATGGATTGCAGGATAAAACGTACAAGGAAAGGTTAAAGGAACTTAACATGTATAGCTTGGAGGAAAGACAAAACACTGGGGATATGATAGAAACATTTAAATACATAAAGGGAATCAACACAGTAAAGGAGGAGACTATGTTTAAAAGAAGAAAAACTAACACAACAAGAGGACATAGTCTTAAATTAGAGGGGCAAAGGTTTAAAAATAATATCAGGACGTATTACTTTACTGAAAGGGTAGTAGATGCATGGAATAGCCTTCCAGCTGAAGTGGTAGAGGTTAACACAGTAAAGGAGTTTAAGCATGTGTGGGATAGGCATAAGGCTGTCCTAACTATAAGATAAGGCCAGGGACTAATGAAAGTATTTAGAAAACTGGGCAGACTAGATGGGCCGAATGGTTCTTATCTGCCGTCACATTCTATGTTTCTATGTTTCAAATAAAAATAATGATGATCCAAAATTGGTGTTTAGTCTTTTTCGTAGAATGTCTTCTTGAACTGATTAATATATAGGATTTACCTTGCTATACCAGATACATTTTATTAGATGTTTGATGCTACACCCTCTGATGTAGGACTCTTTTGAACCATCTCTCTTTCGGTGTTAGAATACTTGTGCTTTTATTTATTTATTTATTTATTATTTTGAGCAGCTTTTAATTAAGGGCTGTTAATCAAGGGCTATAGCACAGTGTCATTGGCCAGTCTACTAGAACAAAGAGTAAGAAAGCTTAAGGGAGACAAAAAAGAAAAGAGAAAAAAAAAGACACAAAGATTTTATGAGAGACTGGAAGACAGAGAGATACATAATGGGTTGAAAGGAGACAGGAAAATAAAGAAAGCATTAAAAGTAAGGAGCACAGAACTGCACGGGATAAAAGGTGGCATAGGGGATTGGTTTTTGGATGCATCTTTGAGTGAAGAGTGGATATTTGCTTCAGGCAAAAGCCCCAGTATATTTTATAAAACTAGCAAGACCCTTGGCTACTAGAGCCCACTAATTGTGGCTCTGTGTATCAGGACATTTGGTGCTTTAACAACATCTTCTATGAATTAAAACAAATTGGAACAAAAATAAAAAAGCAGTATAACCAATATAAGCATGGACAATTTTTCTTGTTTGTGGCATCTATATGCCAGATACAAATTTACCCATGGTTCCAGAGTTTTATAGGAGCAGTTTAACTTATTATTCCACTCTAACCCGTTCCTATAACCTCTAACTGAGACTCTATATCTAACTGCTCTTCGAACTTTCTGTATAAAAATTACTTTTGTCTCTCTCTGTATCCATTTCTTTAACCTTTCTCCGTAAATTCTCTTCCAAGCCAATCTTCTAACCTCTCCCTATTTTATATCCCCCCCTAACTGTTCATATAACGTTTCCCAGTAACACCTTATGTACATATAACTTCTCTATATAATGCCCCCTCTAGCTGCTTCAATAACCTGTCAGTATAACTCCTCTGTTTGCTTATATAGACCAACCTCAAAGTTTTTAGTTTTGTATAACTAACCTTTAAATATTATCTCCTGGACTCTTGACCTCTTCCTTAACTCTTTCCCTAATTGCTTCTAAAACAACTCCTAATAACTCCTTGAATACTAAATGACACTACTCCCCATGGATGAAAATTTCCCATGTTTGTATTCCAGTGACTCCAATTTCCAATAACTCATTTGATCATATCTCCTTAAAACTCCCAAGCACTTATCAATACCATTAACGATCTCATTGTCATTTGTGTCCGTGATTTCTCATCTAAGCGATTAACATAATATTTCCCACTCAGATAAGATCAAAGCATTCCATGAGGTTGACTTGTATTTAAAGGCCATGAGTGAAGTTATTGTAGGAATAGGTTCAGATCCCAGCTGTAAACGTTTATTTCCCTTGACCCTCTCATTAAATTAGCTGAACTTAAAGTACTTTTTCTGTAAAGAAGGGGTTAAATATGAACACAGCATTGGGAGGCTCTATTAAATGTCTAATTATACAGCTGGGTTTCTCTGGTAATGAATTCTCCAAATTACCTCTCTGTAGACTACAATACACTATTCTCCTTAAATTACTTTAATTCAAATACAATGTTGTTTTAAATGGCTGCTGTTTTCGACTGCTGAAGATAGAGAGAATTTACAGAAAGCCAGGGCATTACTTTCCTTGTTAATGTCAAGAGTTTGATATAAAGTGATCCCAAGTCTGTTTATTTAAAATTCTCCTTTTCTTTCTTATCCACACTGTATTATTAAACAATTTACAATGTCTGTTTTAAATACAGTTTTAGAAGAATAATAATCCCTGGTTCTGTGTCCTTAAAGAAAATTTTATAGCTCTTATTTTTTTGAAGACCTAAGAACCTTAACAACCTTCACTCAGGACTTAAAATGTCAAGTACTATAGTAACCAGGCCTTATTAGTTACTTACTTGTCATTGTAACCCTGTAGCTTCCATGGTCGGCCAACCTGGGATGAGTTCCTACTCATCAGTTCTAAATTTTCACTTGCCATTGAATAATGTTGAGTGGAAATTTTGAGATATACATTGCCATTGATTTTCTGCTCTAATGAGTTTCTCTATCAATGGTCCCTTAGTTCAGTTGTTTATAACTGTAGGATTTTCCAAAAATATCTGTAGCTATAATCAGTGGCATACACACGATCCCCGGTGCGCAAACTGACCCGTGGGTCCCCCACCCACCAGTGGTTACACCGCACGGGCCGGGCCACAACACAGGGTGGCCGGGCCCCCTGGAGTGACGGGCCCGGTCACAGCTGCGACCCTTGTATGTACGCCACTGTACACACACATGCATACACATACATACAAACACACACAGAGACACATATATACAGACACACATACATACAAGCACACATACATACAGACACATACACACACACATACACATATATACACACTTACATACATACACAAAAAACAAACACATACATACAGACACATACATACAAACACACACACACAGGCCCGGACTGGGACAAAAATAGGCCTGGGCATTTAAGACTGAGCGGCCCATTTTTATTTTTTGTTAAACCAAATGGATAACTATGATAAATATAATATACTGGTGTCTTGCTGTCTATTAGTTATATTTAGCATGCTTCAGTCACTGAAATTAATCAGTTGGCATTATATAAATATTTGATAATAAATGAAACACAACTTAATGCAATTTATGAAGTGCAATATATTTAATGAACGTTTCAAAACATAACAAATTTTTGAACGTTTAGTTGGTTTTTTAGAGATGTAGAATATGTGTAAAAAAAAAACTCTCACTAAGCCCTGCTTTCTTAAAAGGGTACTTTAAGCACCAAAACAACTTTAGCTTAATGAAGAACTTTGGTAAATAAACTCTCACTTAGAAACTAAGCCCTGCTTACTTAAAAGGGTACTTTAAAGGACCACTATAGTGCCAGGAAAACATACTCGTTTTCCTGGCACTATAGTGCCCTGAGGGTGCCCCCACCTTTAGGGTCCCACTCCTGTGGCGCTGAAGGGGGAGGAAGGGGTTAATATCTTACCCTTTTTCCAGCGCCAGGCTCCCTCGGCGCTGGGACTCTCCTCCCTCTTCTTCCGTCACCGGCTGAATGCGCATGTGCGGCAAGAACTGCGCGTGCATTCAGCCAGTCCATAGGAAAGCATTCCCAATGCTTTCCTATGGACGCTGGTGTCTTCTCACTGTGAAAATCACAGTGAGAAGCGCGGAAGCGCCTCTAGCGGCTGTCAATGAGACAGCCACTAGAGGCTGGATTAACCCATAGGTAAACATACCAGTTTCTCATGATTCTTTCTACGAAACTGCAAAAAGGGTTAAACCTAGCTGGACCTGGCACCCAGACCACTTCATTAAGCTGAAGTGGTCTGGGTGCCTATAGTGGTCCTTTAAGCACCAAAACAACTTTAGCTTAATGAAGAACTTTGGTAACAAAAACTCTCACTTGGAAACTTAGCCCTGCTTACTTAAAAGGGTACTTTAAGCACCAAAACAACTTTAGCTTAATGAAGAACTTTTGTAAAAAAAACCTCTCACTTAGAAACTAAGCCCTGCTTACTTAAAAGGATACTTTAAGCACCAAAACAACTTTAGCTTAATGAAGCATTTGTATATTGGTGTATAGATCATGTCTCAATTCTCTGCCATTTAGACATTAGGTCACTTTTGCTTCTGTTTATGCAGCCCTAGCCACATACATGAGGCTCTAGCACAGTGGTTACCAACCCAGTCCTCAAGTACCCCCTACCAGTCCAGGATTTAGGGATTATCCAGTTGTGTTTAAGGTATTTTTAGAAAGAAAAAAAAATCACTTTAGACACAACAGGGTAAATCCTGGACTGGTAAGGGGTTCTTGAGGACTGGGTTGGAAACCCCTGCTCTAGCAGGCCATTAACAGAGTAGAATATACATTCTAAATGGACTGTGTAATAAATAAAGTTTAAGCATTAAATCCCTCTATACAGGAAATGTGTAGGGAGGCTATGTACGTTACAAGCAGGTGTTGCTAGGTTTGTATAAACAAAGTGATTTAACTCCTAAATGGTAGATAATTGAGCAGCTACAGTGCAGGGTCATGATCCATACAACACTAATGAGATCTTTTAAATAAATACATAAATAACAAAATATTTTATAAATAAGAAATATAAATAATGTTCAAAACATAAAAACAGAATATTCTATCGCTGAGAAATACAACATTGTATAACTTTAAAGGACAATGACCATTGAACCCAAAGGATATTGCACTACGGATTCAGCAAGTTTCGTAGAAGTTCATTGGTTTTTGAAACCCTGTCAATTATGTCGTCAAAATCAAGGTTCATTAATATATCTTTTTCAGTTGCCATCAGCATCAAAGAGCTCAAATGTTCCTGAGATAGAGAACTTCTTAGACGGGTCTTAATAAAATTCAATGTGGAGAAGCTTCTTTCACAGGCAACTTGAGTGAAAGACAGTGTAAGCAGAAATTTGTAGGCTACACCAATGACATTGTAGGCATCAGTTAATAAATTATAGAGCTGTAGAATCTGATAGCAGCAAACAGCACAGTTCTTACATGCCTTGCAAGACATGTTCATCAATTCTGTATCCGCTAAATTACTTTCCTGGTCTTCTATATGTATATCTTCTATAATCCTATATTCTTCTAGGGGTGATGTCTTCAGCCTCTCCCACTGCAATGCAAAATTTGCCAGTTGGGAACACAAATTTTCTGATGTTGCAGAAATCTGTATAGAATCAAAGTCTCTGACAACTGTTTTAAGTTGTTCATATGTTCCCTGTACCTTGTGAAGAGCTTTAGAAATGTCCATTTGGCTTGTCTGCAGATATTAAGACAAAGGTGTGGTCAATTCAAATATTCACAGAAAAATTTGAGCTGTAAGAATAGTTTCATATTTGAGTAGGGATTCTGCATAAGCTTTCGCTCTAACCTCAGGTTTCGATGAGACACTTTCTTCAATTTTGTTCAAAGTGTAAATTAAACTGAGAAACAAAGCAGAATCAGGATTTGAAAATTCCCCAAAAACTTTTCTTAATGCAGTATCTTTTGACTACCAGCGAGTTTCTCCAATTACTGAAATTCTCTGATGGTGAGGGTCTTGACTAACTTCTTCCCAGGTATTCATACGCTGGTAAGAATCACGAATAAACACTGCAATGTCCTTCAACAAACTAAATAGTGATGCACTTGCAACCACTACTTTTGTAGTATCTGCAAGTACC